TGAATTAGTGCAGCGGTAAAATACGTCAGTTCTGAAAACTTTTCGTATGATAAAAGCTAAACTCAGAAATGCTTAACTTGAAGGCGTGTTCGTAAATGTATTGAAGGCAGTAAGCAAGTAAAATGGTTTGTAGTAAAGTAAATTGCTCAAGACGAAATGCAAACCAGATTTTAGAGTGGTTCGATCGTCATGACTTACATCCACTTCGTCGATTCCTCTTCCGTCGAGGCCACTGGCATCCACTATCGATCTTCCTTCAATAGGCGAAGACCAATCACCTTTTACACCCTTTTTCTCCTTTTCACAGGTTTAGGATATAACCTTTACAAGCACACACACTCCTCCTAAACAGAATTCTAGACTTAGACTAGAGGAGGAGATTTCTTAAGTGATTGAAATAGTGTTTCTTCACTTTTAAACTCTCTATGCTTATGTTGTGTTAACAAGGGATGACAGGGGTATTTATAGGCTTCAAGTTGATTCAAACTTGGAGCCTAAAAATATCTCATCCCAGGTTTCCTGGGTCCGAGCGGTAACACCGCTTGTGCTAGGCGATACCACCGCCAATGTCAGTCTGACACTAACACTGCACTAGGCGGTACCACCGCCTAGCAACCTACCACTGTGCAATACCACCACCCAGATTGGCGGTACCATTGTTTGGCACCCTGCCAAGGGCGATACCACTGCCCAGACTAGCGATATCACTGCCTGATACAGTCTCAGAGACTGTGCCATAATGATGTCACTTCTTGGGTCATTGTTTGGGCCTTTCATTGGGCCTAACCCAGTCGTTACATGGGCCCAATTGGCCCCTAATTAGTTTGGCCCAAATCCAAACCCAATTATGTGCTAATTATGAAACTTAAGGCATACACTAAGCTAAACAAGTCCCTAGGTCTTGGTTTCTTCTAACGATCTCCCGGCAATGTTCCAACGGACTTCCGGCAAGCTCCTGGACTTCTTGGTTGGTTTCTGCAAAACTTCCGACGAATGTCTAGACTTCCGACGAACCCTCGAACTCTTAACAAAATTGCGTCCTTGACTCCGAGACTTCATTTTGCTTCATGCCTTGCTATCGTAGTTAATCCTGCATATGTAAAATACACTTTGATCTAGACAATTATTACTAAGCATGAATCATGTTGTTCGGTATGTCATTAGTCTATTGATGCTTCGTCTGATTCTAAGGCGCATCGTCCTCTCTTGTGGCCTATTGCCCAATCGATCAGTTGACTCCATAACTTTGATATCCTTAGCGTAATATTTGCTCTTCTTGGCCCGATGCCTGAATCCATGGCCCGAAGCCTTCTGTCGATACGTCAACTGATCCTCCGGCTCGACGTCCAATCTTCTAATATGTTCCACCGACCCAACATGATTCTTCCTGCTTTAATTGTCTCATCTAATTGAAGCATCCTGCATCACTAAAAACGCAGATCAAATCATAAATACTTATCAATTGATTTCATCATCAAAATATGAGAATCAACACTGCTTAGTATTATTAATTTTTTTTAAATTTTCAGTATAGTCTCCTAACGGCACTAGTCCATATTTCAATAGCGAGTGACCTTTTTCTATCGTTAGATAGAGCAAATGAGATTTATTTTTAATATTACTATATATTTTTAATAAAATCTATAATTATTTTTGACTTATAATTTGATGGATAAATACATGTGAAAAGGCGTTCCTTTAAAAAAAAAGTCCATGACATAAGATAAGATTAATCTCTCCCACACAAACTCTCCCACACATATAAGATCAGAGTAAATTAACATTTTATAATCTCTCATTTAAAGTTTGATTTTCTAATCAAAATCAATTATGCTTTAGAACCAATTTTTTCATGGTACCAATTAATTATCGTATAGAATCAAATTTATGCATGGTGCACTTGAGGTATAAGTTAGTGATGGTAGTAATTTCGGACCTCTCACTATATCCAATTATAAAAAAATTAATATTATTTAAAATGATCTGATTCTATGAAATAATTTTTAATTTATCGATTCAAAATCACTAACTTAAAATGCTTAAACACAATAAGATGATACACCTATTTAATTCTTATAAATCAATACAAATATATTTTTCAGAACCCTTGAAGGCCATCCATCCATCCCATCCTCTACTATTTGGTCATTGTAATGTGTATTCTACCAGTAGTTATGTTGGCCAGCTTCCTTGCTAGTACATCTTTTATATGGAGCACATTTTCTATAAATATTCAGAATTATTGATGATAGTGGCACATTTTAGTTTATTTTATGAGAAAAAAATTAATTAGTTATATATAATATGTATGTTTGTCTGGTCAAATTTTAGTTGATTTTTAAATAGCCTTAATTCATTTAATAAACCTAGTCCAACCAAGCCCCAAATTGTGGTGGGATCAACAAGGTTGAACCAAACCTTCTACCTATTAAATATCATTTTTCTATTTTTTATGTTATATATTAACCCTTATCTTTTTGGATTTGCTGGACTATAAAAAGAAGGAATGCTTCTTAGTAAGATTAAGTGGTTGGAAATATTTTTAACAGATTTATCCCTTTTTTATATAGAATTTTTTTTCATTAAAATCATATAATTCTTGTATAATTTCAAAAACAATAGTTAAGTAAATACTTTCTTTAGATGGAAAGAATATTATGCATTATGCTCTGATATTTTGGTATTATTATACTGCTATTATGAATTAGGTGGCATTGATATGCAAATCGCAAAGAGTTAGGGATTGATATGAAAAAGAGTGTATTTATTTATTTCGCCATCCCACGATTCATTCTAGTCACTCTGCCCTCGCAAGGAAGTAAGAAGAAAGGGCTCAGGAAAAGCGACAAACGCTTCGTCGGCATGAGCTGGTGGTGGGCAGGCGCCATCGGTGCGGCCAGGAAGAAGCTGGATGACGATTTTTCCGCTGCTGCCCCCAGGCACCAGAGCGTCGCACTCGTCATCGGCGCCACCGGCATCGTCGGCTCCTCCCTCATCGGCATCCTCCCGCTCCCGGACACCCCCGGTGGTCCTTGGAAGGTCTACGGCGTCTCCCGCCGATCCCCTAATCCCAACGTCGTCTCCTCCTCCGCCGCCTCCTCCTCTGACAGCGCCGACATCAACCCCATCCGGCACATCCAATGCGACGTCCTCGACGCCGCCGACGCTGCTGCCAAGCTTTCCCCCCTCTCCGACGTCACCCACGTCTTCTATGTCGCCTGGGCCAGCCGCTTCAACGAGGCCGAGAACCGCACCGCCAACGCCGCCATGCTCCGTAACGTCCTAGCCGCCGTCCTCCCTTCCGCCCCCAACCTCCGCCACGTCTGCCTCCAGACCGGCCGCAAGCATTACATCGGCCCCTTCGAGTCAATCGGAAAAATTTCTGCCCACGACCCGCCCTTCCACGAGGACCTACCCCGACTCAACGTCCCCAACTTCTACTACGACCAAGAAGATATTCTGTTCGACGAATTGTCCAAGAGGGACGGCGCCGTAACCTGGTCGATCCACCGCCCCGGAACCATATTTGGCTTCTCCCCGACCAGCCTTATGAATATAATCGGTACCCTCTGCGTATACGCGGCCATCTGCCGGAAGGAAGGAGCCCCTTTGAAGTGGTTCGGCAGCCGGACCGCGTGGGACGGCTTCAGCGACGCGTCCGACGCCGACCTCATCGCGGAGCATCAGATTTGGGCAGCCGTCGATCCCTACGCCAAGAACGAAGCATTCAATTGCAGCAATGGGGACGTGTTCAAGTGGAAGCATTTGTGGGCGCTGCTGGCGGATCAGTTTGGATTGGAATCTGTCGGGTATGAGGGGGAGGAGGGCCGGTTCAAGCTGGAGGACGCCATGCGGGAGAAGGAGTTGGTATGGAATGAGATTGTGGCGGAGAACGAGCTGGTGCCGACGAAGCTGGAGGAGGTGGGGACTTGGTGGTTCGCGGATGCAATTCTTGGAGTCGAGATGCCGCAGCTCGACAGCATGAACAAAAGCAAGGAGCACGGTTTCTTGGGGTTCCGCAACACGCTAACTTCTTTCAATTCTTGGATTGATAAGATGAAGGCTTTCAGAATCGTTCCTTGATGCCTCTATTTCATGCATTCCTTGTGGTTTAGTTTGGTTTGCACATGCTGTGGCCAGGCATCAGTCTCTCATCATGTTCTCAGGTATTGTTGTTTCGGTTCTTGCCAGTTCTTGTGATCGTCAAAATATTGCCGATTTGATTATGGAATTGTACTTCAAACAATAAGAAACTATGGAAATAAGCAGGCCTTATTGGTGTTGATCTCTGGTTTTGGAGGTTATGTTGTATCTATTAAAAATATTGTTTCCTGTTGGAAGTCATAGCTTGTAATTTATATCAGACACTTTTCCTTCAAGAAAATATTTTACTGCATTGTTTATCAGAACAAATTACCTATTCTAATGCTCATCAATTCCTCTCAAGTAGTACTGTACCACTACATATATGTATGTATGTATGTATGTATATATGTATATATACATATGTATATATGTATATACAGTTCATTCCCTGATATAAAGAAATCCAGTGTAAGTCATCTCCCTTTTTAGAATCTAGCTCTGCAAAGTTTTAAGTACAACCAACGCAACTTGAATAACTTTCTTCCTGAACACTAGCATGGCTTGTAGGGACTCCATATTGCCTCGGATCATTGTCTCATCTTTTGTTAGATTACTTCTAAAAGCATCATAGGTTTGTCCCTGAATGTTCGGACTTTTGATGACCAGTAATTGAGAATGCTTGGTTCTTAAGGGGCTCTAAATTTTGCTGACAGGTAGTTGAATGCTTGTAAGTTATTTTTGAATAGGTTATTTATAATTGGTAATGTTTGGGGTCCTTCACTCTAAAGCCACATTGACTGGTATGAATACTAGCATGTGCATACAAGATGCATTAACCCCCAAAAGTAAAAAGTGTGGTAAATATAGCTTTAAAGAAAACAGAAAATTTTGGAAGAAAAAGAAATCTAGGAGTTGGGCAATTGCTAGTGAAAGGAAAAAGTCTTCTGATTGTATGTTCTGCTATCATGCCAATCATGGACTGCAGAGTAAACAAGGGAAGAAAAGTTTTTTACTTGAGTAATTCTCTATTAATTTTTTTTAAAAAGTAATTAGAATACTATTTTTGCTATTCAGCTTATGTACTGACTCCACCATTTTCCATGCAGTTTATTGTTATGGTGGTGTGAGTTTTAGTAGACCTTAATTTTTCTATTATAGGAGAACATGTCACTTAAGAATTAGCTTTCTCTTGTAAGCATGTCTCCCAAATCATCATTTATTGTGTTATATATTCCTGTAGTCCGTGTTTATGGTTTCCCTTCTTTTCTTTTTTACAAATTCTGTTTGTCGACCATGTTGGCTTATTGAATTCTAATGTATTTTGTTATTGTTAGTTGTCTGTAAGTTTTATATATGGAACATTCTGTTCAGTTGTTTTTCATGCTTAGCTAAGATCCTTCCTATTTTATCAGTTGTTTGTGGTCACTGATGACTACCAACAAAATTTAGGTTTCCTATTGCATTTATGATTTCATCATTAGGATCTAACAGTCTAGAGCTTCTTTTAATTATGTATCTATTGAGATTCAGGCCCTCTGCTCTTAAACCTCTTTGTCCTCAGAGCTCTGGTAGGGTGGAAGAATTTTTGCTAGGATGAATGGGAATTTTTCCACACATACATACATTTGGTTTGGTATTTTAGCATTTAAGTATTATGTGATGATCAGGTCCTTATCTATTGAACGGACTTTGTTTCAAGTGCTCCTTTTCATTTAATATAGGTGTATTATTCTGGCACCTGGGCTTTCATCTTTACAGTTTTTCTGAATGATTTAACAAAGTTTTAAATCTGTTATAGCTCTTTCATGATACTTTATAATAAAACATGGGCATTATTGTTTTTTGTTTCCTTTTTTTCTCCATCATTTCTGGTTTCTATAAAAAAGTTTTATCTTACATCAAGATCAGACGTTTAGCATAAGATTTAATTGTAGATCATGTAATCTTTTAGATACTATATTCAGTATTCTATTCGTACTGTACTTTTGTGTCCCCAAGTTCACCTATCACCTGTTGTATCTTCCTAGTTAATGACACAAATTTTGAATTTACATCTTCAAAATAACATACGAGCATCTAGAAGTCAATTTCTCCGAAACAATTTGTGCCGACAATCAGTGCAATTTCGTCAGGGCCATTCTCTTCCTCCAAGTGAGCTGAAGAGCATCAAGCATGTCGTTAGAGTTTTCTTCATGTGCGCGATTGTTGGTACAAGTTCAAGCTCGTCTAGGTTTGTATGTCCTTAGGCCTCCGAGTAATTCAATGTGATATTTCTCTTGAGACGTTTGTTCTCTGAAGGTTCTACATTTATTCTTTCTCCACAAGAAGTTCTTATCTAGTGAACTCTTTCATAAAAGTCAGAAGTGTGATTCTGGGCTGCAGTAACTCTTTCTGCATGCATTCCTGCACATTCTTTTTCCTTGATTTCTTTTGAGTTTTTGGAAAGAAGAAAAGTTTTGCATCATAATAAACATTCTATCACTTGTGATAATGTGGCTATGTTGTATTAGGGATTTCTCATGCTGATTATTTTATTTTGATATTTGTATGTCTTATTCCTCTGCATATCTCATTTATAATTAAATGATTTTCATATGGATCTTTGAATGGTTATAATTTACAAATTGGTCAGAGATTGTTTTTTTCATGTCAATCCTTAGAATCTGACTGAAAATAAAATTATTTGAATAATTTTATTTCAGCACTTGCAAACCTTTAATATTATTATTTCGATAAATTTATCTCTATGAACCATGTTTTTAAAAGGTTCTTAAGATCATTCCTCATGAACATTTATAAATTCCTGCCTCAACACTAATTTTATATGGGTTTTGTGATTGGTTAAATATTTGGTCTTTTCTTTTCCCAAACTCTTTTAACTTTATTCTATTACACATGTATTAGAGTGTATGATTTTGTATTATGTGGTGGTTCAATTTGTTTAAATTTCCAAGTTTGAGGTCAAGAGTAAGTAGATGGACATTAGGACGCTAAAAAGAGGAATCATAAATGATACTTTAAACTAAAAGCTGTGGAATGTTTTTCTTCCTATGGTCTAAAATCTTCATATTTTCTCTACGTGATGCCATGGCCAACTAATATATATATATATATATATATATATATATATATATATATATATATATATATATATATATATATATATATATATCGTAAAAAGTTTTTAACTTTGAGAGTTTCCTTTATAGTACATCAACTTTGAAAATTTTAATTATTTTGTCCTGTTAGCCACGCCCTTCACCTAGTCTTTAGCCATGCTCACGCCTCATCAATCATCAATTGTCTCGCAATGACCTCTCTTAGATCTCGTTGGATTAGCAACAAAAGAACAATCTCTGCGACCCCTTTACGAGTAGCAATAGAGGTTGTAGGTGACAATAAAAGGCAATTAATGATGAAGAAGGGGCGTGAGAAGATTATGGAACCCCTCTACGACTAGTGATGGAGGTTGTGGGCTAGGGTGGTCCATCACCACAGCAAACGATGTGGGGGGTTGTGAGCCATGGCTACAGAGATTGTACCTTTATCGCTAGGTCCAGCAAGGTTTGACTTGACCATTGTACCTATATCGCTAGGTGGGTCTAGTTGAGAGACTTGCTAAAATATAGGGGAGGTCATTAGATAGAAACGATGACGAGTCTGATAGAGGTGATGATGAGTCCAACAGAAACAAAGATAAAATGATCTTTTTTATGAAACTAGGAGCACTTTATGAGTAATTTTCAAAATGAGAAGTTTTTTTTTTTTTTTCAGGATTTTGTACACATAGTTTCCATAGAGTTAACCCTATTGGATTAGCACGTAATGTACATATTAAGTCAACCATGAATTGAAAATTAATATCATCAATAAACTCAAGAGTTTAGATGAGGGAAAATGGTTGTAAATACTTGTGTTTCACTCGTCCTCGGAAAACATTTTTCGATTTGGAGTATTTTGATCTACCAAGTTTGTTCGAACCATATTTGACTACTCTTTAATTAGGCAGCAAACGGATTCAGACAACAAATGTACGTCTGAATCGAATTCGGTGTCGTAATGTCTACACCAACTATGTCTAATTAGACTACTCTGTGTCTACACCAACTTTTGAGTTCATATTATTCCAAACAAGTATCCAGAAATTAGAAATAATGTTGTGCTAATCAAAATCTTTACTTTATTTTTATATTTTATTTAATTTTTATTCAATAAATAAACTCGGAAAAATAGCATGTGGGAAACTAATCCAATGTTTTTGAATCGGTAGAATTTCTTTTATTAATGAATCAAAATTAATTTGGCCAAACTTAGTTTCGGAAATGCTTTTATTATTTTGAAAACTGATACTTTCTTTAATCATTTTGGAAATGAGGTGCAAAACTCAATATTTAGGATTTTCCTTAGAAAATCGCCATTATTATGACGATAATGACAATAATATGCCATTATTATGACGATAATGACAATAATAAGAAAACTGATACTTTTCTTGCTCTTCTTCCGCGGCTGCCACCGTGCACTTGCTGCGTCCGGCCCACCAAAGAAGATACACAACGCATGTGCACAATGCGGAAGTCAGCACCTGATGTTGATCTTTGTGCTTATCCATCCCTCCCAGCTCTGACAGCGAAACCTCCTTCCAATCATTCTTCTTGTGTCTTTCCCTCCCCGTTTCGAGCTCGTCGTTTGCTCGCTCGCTCACTCCCTCCGTCGTCGAAGGTAGAACCAAGGAGGCGAACGGATCATCATGGCCTCGGATCTCTCTCAGCTAGAATCAAGGTTCCCTCTTTCTCAATCCTCGCTTCATCTTTTGGTCTACCTCAGTAAACTCTTGTCACAAATGCGGTCTTTCTTGACCAGTTTGGTTCGGATTTCGGCTACATGATTTGGTTGTGACCCTCATGGCTGTCTTGTTCCTGTTTCACCTTGCCTCTGGCTTTCTCTTTTGAACAAGCAAACTTGATTAGTACCATTTGCGAGAGTCTGGAACGAGCGGAAAATTAGGACGACGAAATTACTCGAGAAAGAGTTGTGAGATTGCGATCTGGCTGTGGCTTTCTTATCAATAAAAGTCTGGATGTTGGACATTGGCCTTCTTTTAGACCCATAGAGAACTTGGATGATTGATATAGCATTTTTCGTTTACGTCCTCAAGTGTAGTGCTGTTTACAAGTCTTTGCATAGATCATAGCATTTAGATAAACAAACACCTACTTGGTTATATTTCTGGTCACCCAGTTGGAGTGTGCCTGACTTGTAAGCATGAGACCAACTGTGGTATCAGTTGTTATTGCTGTGTTGTTCAAAAGGTTTTGTTTTGGGATACCCTCATTTGCATTATATAACATAGTACATGATTACATGCCGTATCTTCTGTGACTGGATATTAACATGGTACACCATAGTGCAGATTGATGCTGTTTATGATGGATGCAGCTGCCTTGAATCAGCATGTCATCTTGTTATCGTGTCATTAGGCCGGTGTAGAGGCTGTCTTGAATATAGCTTGTTTATGAGTCAGTATAATCATATCATCTTGTTTATGTGAAAATATTGTTGGAATATACCTACAATACTATATGTTCAACATATGACATTCTGTCATTATGTTGTTCCTGATTTCAAACTCCAATTGTGCTGATTTCTGCATGGAGAATAAGTGTCTCAAATATAGCTTTACTTTATTTTTCTTTTAAGTGCTTTTTGCCAAGCATTTGTCTTGTACTTCTGCTCTACCATAATATGTTTTTCTTTTTAACCAATACATCCTTGATGCAAGGGCCTGTGGTATGTTCTCTGAAGAAATATTAAGCATTTTGATTGTAATCAATATTCTTAATGTCCATCAGTATTAGTTGTGAACTTTCTCATTTTAGTATCTCTTGTGACATGTAAATGTATCGACAATCAAGTTGTTTTACACTTTTTTACTCCGGTTATATGCAAGAAGTAAAGATTTATGAAGCATTTACTTTTGGTTCTTGTTTTTTTCATATTTTTCAAGTGTTTAACTTCATATTTGACTATTTTTGTTCTTAAGGTACTGTAATGCATGCCAGAAGCAGGAGGTTCTACCTAATTCTTCAATCTTATCGTGTCTATCAAAAGTAATTTTTTCCAATATATTGGATGTATTTTATTTGCATCTTGCGTTTGAATGCTTCAAACATTATTTTATTGTCTTGTTTTTATCTTAATGGGTGTGCAATTTGTAGGCACTATAGATGTAACTTCAAATCATTTTGGTTAGTTGGTAGAGGCTTTCTGTGTGGGTTCAGGGGGATAATATCCAGGGTTAGCAGTGATTCTCTGATTTTCCTGGTCTAATACATAATACAGTTTTGAATATCCCATGTTCCAAGCATATGGTGAGATGGAGCTGGGATGTACTTCACACTGCTCTATGGTATACTACAGATCAATCATTTTCCTAGCTACTTGCCTTAGCAAGTTGGCCAAGGAGTATCTACTTCTTTCTTAGCAGTTTCTGCTAGCGTGGTGTGATTTACCAAAGATCCAGTTGGTTCAGCTACTTGCAACAGAAATTGCCATTAAAAAATGTGTAATTGGTGAACACCATAGGGCAATATTTAAATTTTTTTCTTATTTTGGTTACATAAATTTATGAAATGTGATGGATCATTTCTTAATCTTTTAGAGTTTTAGGTTAACACATGATAGTATTCATTTCCTTGTCTTGGAGAAGGGCATAAAAGTTAACTTATTTGAGCTTAATTGGGTGAATTACACTTTTACTCTGCTGTCTTCTAAAAGTTGTGATTCATTTAATTGAAACGTCATGAAAGTGTATGTGAAGCTATTGGCCACCTTGAGAAAATAAAAAAATATGAACTTAGAATGTGTTTTTCATACTTAAGTTTTAATAACAGAGTGGATGAACAATGGATAAGTGACAGCCTTTTTCTGGAATCCACCATCCATGGACTTTCGGAGCAAAGCAAAGTCAAATGCTTCTATAACAGTTATGAAACTAGTGTCCTTTCTTTTGTAATGTTAAGCAATATATGATTTTCCATTTGAAACACCAACCATGCAATGATGAGACATACTTCTGTAGTGATGCATACCAAAATTTAGATACATCTCTTTAGACAACTGGGAGTTTGTGCTTCATGGTTTACTTGATAATTTTCTGTTATTTGGTCATATACATCTTTCCCCTTGCTCTTCAATTTATGATTTCAGTGAAGAGTTCTGATCAACACATCCAACCCTAATGGGGACAAGCCATGTTTCCTTGTGCCACTGTCTTCTCCAAGTCATTGGTTGTATGCATAATCAGACTAGTATACTTATGTAATTTGCATGTCCTGATTCAAGAGTACCAACGTTTCAGATGTTCTATCACCTCTTTCAGGCTTTTGGCAATAACAGTTATGTCCAAGCTGCTTTCTTTCTATCTTTGGATATGGTTACCTATTCTAAGTATCCTTTCCCGGATTTGAGGTTAGTGTGTCTTCATCTTGATATTTCATATGGTGAACTTCTACTAATCTTATTTACAAGCTTGCTCAAGCCATTAGCTGCAGGGTTGTTACTTGTTAACTGGGGGAACCTGAACTGTATAATGGAACTTCTTTTTGGTGTCTGATACAACAATGTATGAAACTAGGTATCATCCTTTCTGTCAGATAATTAGGTCATAAAAGTATCTCAATACTATTATCTGTAAACCATTGACATTCTTATACTTAGTCCACAGATACACTTTGCATACTTTGAGGCTTGAAGGTTCAAAACCTTATTAAGATGCAGAATATGAGTAAGTCCAAATTTGGTTGATCTGATAGAGAAAGGTTTAACTCTGTATTTGTCTAATCAGTCAAAAGGGATAAAACTTGAAATTGGTTTAAGTTGTTATCTGGTTACATATTTTTATTCATCTTTTTTCCTTTAGGTCTTGTGCTATGTAAGGTCTAACATTTACTACTTTGCTTCAGGTGAAACATCAGAAAGTGCACTTTGAACAATGCTCTTTGGAAATCTTGATTGACAATTTGACATTTTCCGACATTCCTCCACTTATAGATACTTTATCAGGAATCAGTTCATCTGATGTTGATGCAGTTGATGTAAGTCAGAAATCATCTGATGTTTCAATAGATGGGGAATCTCTACTACTGTTACTTCGTGCAGTCAACCATAAGCTTCGGGCTGTTAATTTCATTAATTCATCATTTTGGAAAGATGTTTTGCGGTATGTTGTTCAAAGTTCACCAGATTCTTTTTGACATTATAGGTCTCTAATAACATTTGATCATGTAACAATCATCTACATCATTTTCTTAAATGCAATTGTAACTGTAATGACTATTAGTAAAGGGTAAAGGATATTGTTTTTAAGTAATCGAGATCCACCATTTTCCACTATGACAGTGTTATGCAACTTGAATATATACCATTATTTTGTGAATCTAATTCTGCCAGATATAATAATAAGTTTTTTGATTTTCAATGATACTGTCATGTGACTTTACTTAACATTGTTTTTTCTTTCTTTTGTTGAAATATTGATTTGAGCAATAATGATAACTATTTTCAGTTATTTTCACTATAATGTCTAATACTGAACGGGCATGCCTCTAAATATTTGTTCATTAAAATTGTTGCTCAAAATGAGCTAGAGGGCTGCTAGCAACCTGTTATAACCATTAGAACTGGTTAGTCCAGTTTTGATTTATATCCATTATAGTGGGCCGTTCTACAACCATGATACCAGAACAAAGGTTATTCATTTGCTAAGAAGAATGAAGCTTACTGTTGTCAATTATGCTATTGCGGATCTCATAATTTTTAAAAATCATTTGGAGATATCTTGCAGAGGTAAGATTCTGTGTTCACAAAAACAAGGAAGAGTCCATTAATCAACTATGGAAATACCACCACATTGTTCTATAGGAGGGTTATATGTTGTTGTTTTAAATGTTGTCTTCACATTATGGCATTTCTTGAACTTGATCTAAACTAGGTGAAATATTGCATGTTAAACATTTTCTATTCGCTGACATAATTACTCTACTCTCCATTGCTTCTAGTGATATTTTCCAGAGAGGTACAACATGCCAGGTTTTGAACTTGCGCTTCTCTCCTATTCGGAAGCTCAACATGACAGGGAAATTCATGGAATTACACACACTTAATTTGGATTTTAGTGTTCATTTGAACAGCTTCCACATCAATTGTTTTAGTTGTATGCCAAAGCTGATGCGGCTCTCAATGTGTGAAACAAGAGTAGCCAATCTATGGATGACAAGTGCTGCACTATCAAAACTTCGTTCTTTGGTTGAACTTCGCTTTCAAACTTGTTTGTGCTGCTTTGATACTGGGCCATGTCCAACATCTGGTGGAGTGATCAGACTGGGAAATGAGAAGATTTTCTCTGATAAGCAACAATTTTCTTCTTACTTAGGATCAAGATGTGTGGATAATGATGACATGTTAGAACAGACTATGGAACACTCTACAGATGACAATCTTGGTAGACTTTGCTCTGATAATCTCTCATTTTTAAATCATGATTCACTGAAAAGCACTACTCAGGTGTTATCAGATGAAAGTGATTCAGAATTTTCAAGTGATACAAAAGAGGTTGACAATTTGAGAAAAATATCTGATACTGTTATTGAGTTTAATAACCAGGCCAATTCAAATGTCATAGTAAGCCCATCGAAACATTCTACACCATCTAGCATTATTTCTTCAGTACCAACTCTTATTCCAACTTTTGAGGAGGTAATGTCTTCAAGTAGAAGACTAAATGATAGTAACTCTTTTATTGGGCATGCAAATGCTGATGAATTTTGTTGTCAGCATAACTATATTGATAATTTCACTATCACTGAAGAATTTTCTAAAGATGAAGGATCTTTGACTAATAGTCTGAAGGTAAAAAATGTTACAATGACCTCACTGAAGAATCATATTTCTAGTCATCCTTCACCAATTTGTTTTGAGACATACTACAAAGAATATATGATAACATCACTGCCAAATTTATTAGTTTTAGATAATTTGCCTATTGGAGATGTGGAACGGGAGCAAGCCAAATTAGTCTTTAAGAGATATTTTGAGTGTGCACCATATAACAGACAAGGAAAAGATTCTGTTGTCAGTATCGTTCAGAGACGTGAAATCAGCAGTGGTGTTTTCTTTCAGAGATCTTCTAAAGTGAAGCAACGGTATCTTAGAGAAAGTAATCACTCATTCCTCAGGTCACTTTCTGCTGCTAAAGTAAACTCATCTCCACAGCCTCATTCACATTCAATTTCCAATTTTAGAAGTGGTCCAAGTGAAGAGACAAAGAGCTTTCGTCCAAGGCAATTTGAGTATCATCCTACAGACCCAAGACTTATGGTATTTGGAACACTAGATGGGGAGCTTGTGGTTATTAACCATGAAAGCGAGAAACTTGTTGGTTATCTTCCATCAGTTGGTACGACACTAAATAGCATTTTAGGCCTTTGCTGGCTTAAGAAGCATCCATCTAAGGTGAGCTGACTACTGGTGAACATAAATCTGCTGCTTTTAAGGTTGATAAATAGACCATGTTTTCCCTATCTTTTCTTGACTTCAGTAACAATATTTACCTGCTTTACCCACACTGGCTGTATCTATATCCTGTTCATGTCCTAATTTTTCAACATCACTGACTTGTCATTTTGGGTTTATGCTGTTAACTCTAGCTCATCGCTGGTTCGGATAATGGTTCTTTGCAAATGTATGATGTTTGTCGAATGCTGTCAAAGGTCACTGATCGATATTGCAATATGGATGCTTCTATGCACACATTTGATGATTTTGAGCAGTTAACATCTGTCCATATAAATTCAAATGATGAATATATTCTTGCAAGTGGATTCTCAAATCATGTGGCGCTCTATGACATGTGCAGTGGAAGGCGTTTGCAAATTTTCAAGGACCTTCATAAGGAACATATAAATGTTGTCAAGTTTGCCTACCATTCACCCACTTTATTTGCCACTGCATCCTTTGATAAAGATGTCAAGATGTGGGACTTAAGGCAAGGTATGTCACAGCCTTGTTATACAGCTTCAAGCTCTAGAGGGAACGTGATGGTTTGCTTTTCTCCTGATGATTACTATTTACTTACATCAGCCATAGACAATGAGGTAAACTTGTATGACACATTCGGTTACATTATGCTTTGCAACCATATGTTGATGATCTTAGCAAGTTTTTCCAGGTTAAGCAACTATTGGCTGTAGATGGAAGACTTCTGACTTCATTTGACATTACCTCTACTGGACATGCTCAAAATTATACTCGATCTTACTATATGAATGGAAGGGATTACATGATAACTGGAAGCTGCGAAGAGCATGTTGTACGCATATGCTGTGCTCAAACTGGAAGGAGGCTTAAAGATGTTCATCTCGAGGTGATTTAGAACTGCAAATTGATCTTTCATCTCTCTAGCTTATCATGGGCCATCTTTTTACTACTGGATCTGAATTTTTCTCATGGTTTTGCATAATAAGAAAAAAGCATAGTACAACCTCCAAATAGATTCATGGTTAGATTTTAATGACTTGAATTGTTGGTGATCTTTTGTTGTCATCCTGAGGGCTTAACACTAGTATGTGACCTGATAAACGGGCATCCATCTTAAAAATAATGGATTATAATTGAAAATGCTTGATGCTTTACATGCTGGTGGAGTTGATTTCTAGAATTAAAGTTTCTTCGGAAGTTTGTTTGCACCTTGAAAACTGTTGCATGTGGTCTGCTAGAGCCTATTGTTTCTCCTTCAAGGTTTACATATTTGGTTGCTAGTGCTGCTACATGGATTTATTTGTTTCCTTTGTTATATCTAATGTCAACTCCATTATGGAGTTTATTAGCCATCGTAAATTTTCATGTTCAGTCTCGTTGGTCCTTAATTCCAACTCTTCTTTATCATTTTTGGGTCCATTTCTCAACTTAAAATCGCATTTCCTCTATTATGCTTATATGTGCACTTAAGACTTAAGAGTGTGGTTTGTCCTTGGTCAATCTAATATCATATTAACATCTTTAAGAGGAAAGTCCAAATAGAGGACTCAAATTATTAAATGTGATCTATATACTCTTTAGGTTATATGATGTCCATTTGCCCATCCATTATCTTGACCAAAAATATGAAGTCTAAACTTTTGCATCACTTGATGGATGATTCATGGACTTGTAATCTTATAATTTATCAATAAGGGTAAATTTTAGAAGGTGCAGAACCAAATTAACATTTATATAGTTGATTTTCAAGTTGGCCATGGGCTTATGGACTTACCAAGAATCTCTTGTTTTTTAGTTGGTTGACCTGAGACTAAATTTATATGCGAAAGACAATTAAAGATCCAAATCACTACTTGATGCATTGGTAAACATGTTTGTGTTAGTCTATTATTTTAGTATAAATTACACCATTAGTCCTTAAAACTAGTGCTGGATGTCAACTGGGTTTCTAAAATCAATTTGTGCCCATTGACTTCTCATCATGATTTATCATTTCAATCAAATCCTACTATTAGGATCTATCAACAAATTTTGACTGAAAGCTGGTATTAACCCATGACAGAACTTAACATACCAATCTAATAAAAAAATCAATTATAAATTGTCTATCGTGTACCATATCGGGCATGTTGGATGATTTTTCTGCTAATATTTGTGTTATGTTAAAAAGTCAAGTCCAACTGCGCAGTCAGATCAACTTTTCGTCAAGGCTTGTGAATGGAAGCTAATGGAAGGACTTGATCAAAATATAAATTATAGTTAAGGCCTTAAGGGAGTCAATTGGCACCAAATAAAGTTTTAAGGCTCAATTGAAGTTTGCTCTATGGTTCAAGCACTCTGTATATAGTCTATCCTGATTTTTAATATAAGGCACTTTGGAGGATCTGAAATCATATTTGTGAATTATTGGTTTTCAAATCAGTGATACTCTTTAGATAAAAGGAAAACTCTCTTTTTTGGGGCAACCTAAGACTAAGCATGCTATATATATTTATTATCTTGTGGATTCTGTATATAATGTAAGACTCTCTTTAGATCAGGAAACCATATCTTGTGGATTTTGGGCAACCTAAAACTCTCTTTAGATCAGGTGCTATCAAAGAGAAACAATAAAATGTATTAGAGGGGTAAGTACTCCATTGGTAATTTATCAAATGTAACTGCATGCATCTCCTTTGGGCATATTTTTTTTTTTGAGAAAATTTTGATCTTTCAAAAAGATCATGTCAATTGCTTATATACAAAATGATATATATGTCAAGACATAGTTATGATTTAATTGCTGGGCATCCTGGTAAATCAAATGTATACTTACCATGTCACTCTAAACAAAAGAACTTAAACATTTAATTCAAAATTAATTGTGTAGATGCTAACACTGAGTATGTCTTCCTGGGTGGGTTTATATGATGATATTGCTGATGGAGAACATATTTCATATTGCTTGGTACAGTTCTTACCAACGATCGCCATTTCACTCGGATTGGTATGGAATGGGCTGTACATACCAATTCGAGCATAGACTAGTACGTGGACTGCCCCCTGTTTTTAGCGGTCCTCTTCGACCCATTAAAACAGATTCCACTCCAACTCGTTTACACATTTAGGTCTTGTGTTTGTGAGCCTTCTTCGCTCGAATGCGAGCGCATCTGCCTTGCTATCACCCATCCCTGCCACCGTCTATCATTCGCCGTGCACCGTCAACACGGACGTTCCTACTTCTTTTCTTCTCCTTGCTCTTCTTCCTCCTCTTTTTCCTCCACCGCCTCCTTCCTCTTCCTCTTCCTCCATCACCTCTTCTTCCTTTCTTTTCCTTCTTAATCCTCTTACCCCTACTTTTTCCTCCACCATTTCCTCTTCTCCTTTTCTTCCTATTCGAAATACCAGTATGTATTGGTGTAAGATTTGTTGGTATTAGTACTGACCAGTTTGTACCGGTCCGATAGATCACCAAAATGGGTCAGGTATTGAAAACGACGATCCTTGGTTCTTACTTTCTTAATGTCTAAGAGCTACATCACATTGGATAGAGAAAGCATAGCTTAGAGGATTAATTAGATCAACCCTCATTTGATGAATTTCATCAATTAACCAATTTGGATTGCTGGAACCAGTTAAAAATAATAAAAAAGGTTAACTAAAACTAGACATTGTGTATGGGATCAATCCTGACCGATAAGATGAGTTGAAGCTGACTGAAACTTCAAGGTGTACGTATCTTGGTCACAACTCAAACTGTGACTGTTGCTGATGGTCCAATATTGTGACCAACGAGCCAAATCCGGTAACCTTTCCAATATGTTAATTGACAAAGCCAAGTTGGACCCGTGAAAAATTGAATGCATGAGAAAATATGTGGATCTTGCCATTCCCTCTATTTTTCCCAGTTTATTGTGAATAGAACTCCATTTTATGTTCCCCTATTACAAGTTCCCACCAGAGTCTTTCCTTCATACCTTCTTGCAATGCATCATCATAAATTAGTGATTTGAAATTGCAATCTCCAAATGCGGGATCCTAATAAAATATTTGCAAACACAAAGTTCCAAACAAGGCTCCCCTCATTTACAGAAGTTGCATATTCCTATGCATGTTTTACCTAACACAACTGCATTCACAAATGTAAGGATCCAAATAGCCCCTAAATGTTTACTCTCTCATGTTTTTTAGCAGCTTGATTAAATTTAGATGACTATGAATCAATTTTTTGTGATGATCTTACCATTTTTCTTTCAATTCCCTACTGCTAATACTAACTGGAAAAAAAATCTTCTTTTTTGTGCAATTTTCTGCTTTCAGTATCAATGCAGGTCTAGCATATATAAAACTTAAACATCCTCTGTAATGTTCCTTTTTATTTATGGCCACTTTGTGTAATTTTGTTAATCTCCACCTCAATCTTATGCAACTGTTGCCTTAAGTTAACTAAATAGTATCTTGAGTAATATGCAATCAGATTAATCATCTATTCTTAATTTTTTTTTTAAAGTAATATCATTGGCTTGTTTCTGATATATTTTTTGTCTGTTTAATTGACAATTGAATCCTGACTCATTATCTGGAATTCTGGATTAATATTATTGCACTCAAATTATCTGCAAACCTAGTGTATTTTTTTGGATAATGGATGGCATATAGCATGTCATATGCTCGACACTCTTTGGTGATATCAAGCCTTACTGAGAAGGCTTAACAATCATCAATTTTGCTCATGAAACTGTACTAAATATAATAATTGCTCACTATTTGCAGGGACGGGGTTCAAAAAATTCCATATTCATACAATCTTTGAGGAGTGATCCATTTAGGGTGAGTATTTATTTAGGTCTTAAGCAAATGGTTTGTCTGATGTGACTCCTGAAAAATGGTAAATTCTCACTTGACACTTGCCATCACATTTAAAGCTCTGTTGTTGCTTTGAAACATAATTTTTCACTCTTTCCTTAAAATTTTAATTATCTGCACCTAAGAGTTCACTGGAATTATGTTGACAAAATAAAACTGCTGATGTGTTCTTTCAAGTGAATGACATCAGGAAATCCTTATGGCGTATTAATTTACACTAATTAGTTTCATTATCATGGACAACTTAAATCCATTTTTCCACAGTGTAACAGCCTTTGTTTCAAGTTCTACCAATCCTACTTGGGAACTTATTAAATTTTTTGTTATTTCTCTTATGTGACTTTTTAGTTCCGGCACTTATGTTGGTCTAAGTTGTGTGAATGGTTGCTTGAGTTATTAAATCTTAACAGTTAATGTAGAGGTTGTATGGCACAAAATTTCCAAATTAGTACGATGGTCACTTCCTGATGAGGAAAATAAAATCTATTTCTTCTTTCTGCAACCATATAAATCTTTGAGGTCATGTATATGTTGAAAATTAAGTTTAAGTTATTGTTCACTTTGCTGTCTTTTGCTCTTAGTTTATCATCACTTCTTGGTAGTGTCAAACTGTCAATGCTGCAATTGGGAAGCAAAAAGTAGAGCTTGGGGTATAGAGTGATCTATAATTCTATATATAAATTGTTTTTCCGAGAGGTTGGAGTCTGAGCAGGACCAAGATGGCCCTACGATGAGAACAAACTATACTAGGATTATATTAGAATTTATATGATGACCACGCAAATAAATTAACATAGTTAATCAATTTTCATATGAAGATCATTCTTTTTTTCAGATTTTGAAGACAGTTCATTCCTGCATGCTTGAGATTGTAGGCAGTCCGATAACAGCTTCAGTTTATGATTGCTTCATAGTTCATATTACAAACCATAAATTGTCAATCTAACTGCAGTGAAAGAGCTTGTTCTCTCTAATCTTCATTGTGATAGAATATCTTCTTTCTAGGTGCAAAACATACCCTTACAAATTATATAATTTGTGTCAATGAAGCCAAATATGAAACCACAGAACAGCTTCAGTTCAACCAGTTTGAATTTGCATGAAAATTTTATGTATTTACTTAACAAAATCCATGGATGTTCTACTAGATCTTATTTTTATCTATCTAGTATAATGGAGTATCTTCCTGTCCAATGCAGGCTTTTCACATGAGTATTTTAGCAGCTCATTGGCACCCATTTACAAAATCAGAGATCATAAAGGTACTTCAATTTATTCTTTAGTTGCTACCTCGTCTGGCCAAAATTTGCAGACTCCAGCTATTTTGGAATTCTCTGCAGGTGAACTTGTTGCAAACTGAAGAATGCATCGAAGAAAGCACGTCCGGTTAAAGTGCTCTAATGCTCTAGTTCCGTCACTGGTGAAGGGTTGATCATTTGATGATAACTTATTTGGAAGATGAATATTGCCTTGTCAAGCAAACTGAATTCACTTCTGGCATATTATGGCAAATATCTCAGGCTCTTTGAGCCCTTTCCTTCATGGGCTCTAATCCATAGTTGTATAATGTGTCTGGTCAATAATGTGTGGAAAGATTGAATACTTTGTGTACATATATGTGTTTCAGATAGTGCTATGGTCTAAATCGTGCTTCTTGAAGTAATTTTGAGATGTAAAAGATTGTTGATCAACCAGAATATGAGCTCGTTTGTTTTGAAAACAATTTTGAGATGCCATTGAACCAATTACTGGGGCATTGTTCTCTATAGGTTCTTCAAACATGGAGGTTATGTGAGTACAAGAAACTGTTAATAGCTCAGCTGATGAATCCTCATTCCTTTGTCACTAAAGATGCAGCAGTGGTGCGTTGGGTTCCAATTTGTGTATAATCTACAACAAGGAAGAACTCAAACTACCAGAGTTAGAGCTGTGGAGGATTCTTCTCCTGCAAATTGAGAAATGCCTTGATTTGAATTTTTGTTTGAAGTTAGATTGTTAGACATGTCACAGGTGATCTTATGTTTCATATTTGGCCAACCAAAATATGTTTCATAGTTGTATCAGCCTCTATCTAGATTTTGTTTCCATCCTTTCATGAAGATGTTGGTTCTGAAGGTAAATGGTAGAAAGATGGCAGCTTCTCACGGACATTCTATCGAACACCTGCTAAAATGCCTGAGGACCGCTAACCAGTGGAAAGTTGCGGTTCCCTGTTTGGTGTCTCGGACGACACAGTTGAATCCAGTGTCGGAAATATTAGCTTTGTATTTAAGCGGCATTCGCCCCTTTCCTCTCCGACCAAACCCTCGCCGGGCAGATGGCTGAAGACAGCGAAGCGACAAAGCACGGGTCCGGAGAAGCGCCCGCAAAGGGAAGCAACGAGGCAGAGGCCTCCGCGACGCCCCCTCCGCCTCCGGCCTCCAGGCTCCCATCCGTCTCCCTCAACATCTGGCCGCCGTCGCAGCGGACGCGGGAGGCGGTGATCCAGCACCTGATCGAGACCCTCACCTCTCCATCCCTCCTCTCCAAGCGCTACGGCGTCCTCTCCCTCGACGAGGCCTCCGCCACTGGCCGCCTCATCGAGGAGGAGGCCTTCGCTGCCGCGGCCACGGCTGCGGCTGCGGACGGCGCCCACGCCACCTCCGTCGACGAAGAGGTGGAGATCCTCCAGATCAACTCGAAGGGGATCACCGCGGCCGCGGACGGCGCCCACGCCACCTCCGTCGACGAAGAGGTGGAGATCCTCCAGATATACTCGAAGGGGATCAGCAAGCGCGTGATTGAGACCGTCAAGAAGAGAGGTTCATCCGTGGACGGCGCCGCCAAGGTGACACCGACGCCCGCCGATTCTGACGCACCTGCCACTGCTGCCGGTGAGGAAGCCTCATCTCTCGAATCAGAGACTCCACAAGCTTAAATTTGGGCTCTGGATACTATATCATGGTACTCTTTCCTTTTCTGTTTCTTGAGTGTTTGTTACATTGTTCTCAGATGAAATGCTTGTCTTGGTCTGGAATTTTTAGTTGGTGGTGTTGTCGAGGATGATTGCATTTTGTGGATCTGTAGACTTGCAATGCTGCATTGAATTGCTATATGGTGATGTTTAGGGTTTTATGACATAGTACTGCTACTCTATATCAACTAAATAAAGCTAAAGGAGAATGTTCAATCTCTTCCTCTCTCTGGTTGGAGTAGATAAAATTGGGGTACTGAAACTTTCAATCTTGTCTCTGTATTTATATATATATTTTGTTGTTGCTGCCTTTCTATTTTTGGATCTACCCCAATATTTGTTTTTTTTATAATTTCAGTATTTATAGCATTGCCTGCTTTTATTTCTGTTCTTATCCTATTATTGCTGTTATGTTTTTAAATAGCGAAAAGACTACATCATTTGATTACTAGGGAATCAGATATTACATTGGGGTTATTACCAAAGTTGATTGGGAATTCACTATCCCCACTTAGAGCTAATCAAATTAGCTCTTGCAAAGTTAGCCATGACATGAGCTGTTGTTTAAATGTCGTCGGATAATAACAAAAGTTGTAGGAAATAGATCGACATAGCAGTTTAATGTCGTGTATTAGACTAGAAATAGTCAGTCCATGGGCATGATTTATCCTCCTTGATCCATCTGATGGCTTGTTGAGAGTCAGATTTGATGATCAGGTGTTTGGCTCCTAATTCAAGAGCCCTCTCGAGGCACTCTCTAATTGCCCGACATTCCGAATGAGCCGTAGAGGAAACCATGATGTGTATGCATCCTGCAGCCAGTATAGAACCATTAGGAAGTTTTAATAAATAGCCTGAACCAGCTGGCTGGGTTTTAGAGCTGAATGAACCATCACACTCAAGGGTGTGGAACATTTGTAAGAAGGTTCATAACCATTTCTTGCACATCTTCATACTATGTTCAGATTATAATTTCTCCTTCTATATGCTTAGATTTGTCTGACCAGCAAGTGGGACCTAATCAGTCTAGACGTAGCTGCTTATGTAAAGTAAAAAACTCGTATAGTGAAACAAGAAGGGAGTAATAAAGAGTTGACTGCAAAGATAAGAGACTAAGTACAGATTACTATAAGATCGGAAGTTACCTCTAAATTTATTGAAGTCGTATACATCCTAGATTTTCACTTAAATTGAACCCTAAGGCTTCGCTCTGTTCTCATAAAAGGACTTCCAACTCAGTGTGACAGCATAAAGACTCTGTTATGTAATATTTGACTCAAAAGTGGGAACTCTTGTTAGCTGAAACTCAACAATGTTGAAATAAAAAAGGGTATGGAATACCCACCTAAGGTATAGCCCATTTCACTTATTCCATCAACTTTTAATTGACACCACTTAGCAGCCCAAGCACCCTATCTTTTTGTTATCCCACCTACATTTTAAGATCATTTTTGGCAAACAAATAAGTCCCTGTAAATTTTACCTGCTAGGTATCTCAGCTGTACATCCGTAGTCATTGCAGTGTCCACAAGTATAATGTGCCTGAGATGGTTGCTTGGACCATCCCAAATAATGTGGCACTTGTAGGGGAAGCAGCTATTCACTTATCCCTTGCTAGGATCGCATTTCTTGACAAAATCAACCCGATCAATGTTTTTGCAGCACCAACTAATGTCTCACTGGCGTTCACTTGAAGAATTTTTGGAAATGGTGTATTAATTCTTCTAAGAAGCAAAAACCAAAATTTACATAATCTTCCCCACTCATGGACCAGTAGTGCTTCTAGGTTCAATCCAAAGCTGTGACACTCACTCTACCATGAAATGGGTCATTCTAACCATAGTGATTATTAGGTTGTATTAAGTGCTGTGCGAGAAAATAAGATCCATCTCGTTTTTTTTGTAACGAAAATATTCGCTTTGGAAATATTAGTTCAAGATGGGAAGCTAGAGGTAGAGGGTATTATTGTGTTCTGGGTAAGGTAGCAGCAACACTAAGTTAGGTAAGAGATTCTGAAATATTTCTAAATGGTGAGAAGGGTCCATTCTATTGGCCACAGTTGAGAAGAATGCTTTTTGGTAGTCAACCTAGTTTATTTTTTTACCCATGAATAGTTTTGTGGCTGCTCCATTAATCTCATCAGTCTTTCCACTCTATGCTTATTTATCGGCACGCTTTGTTGAAGAAAAGATATCTGATTTTGTGCAGTTGTGAATGATATTACATAGAAGGCAACAATCTCAAACATCAATGGTCGAACATTGTACATCCTGTTGTCTGGTTTTGCTCTTCCGGTGCCAGTCTTCTGTTTTGGTTCAATAATCTCATCTTGCTTTACATATTTGAAACTGTTTATGCCCTCATAAAAAATCTGAAATCTGTAGAAGATTTATCAGTTGCTGGTAGTTTTGTTTAGATTTATCAGATGAGTTGAATCTCCATCATACTTTTCTTGCCAGGAACTACACATGGCAGTGAAGGCCTAACACACTCAATAGTCCACTCATGATTTTTTTGGTTACCATAATTGCTTCCAATGCTTACTAAGATTATTTTCTATACTCTGCTTCAGGTTTCTCTGGACTACTTAGGTTAATCAATGCTAGTCACAGTTATCAATTACTTCAAATATCTTTAAAACTTTTATTATCATAACAAAGTTTTCAAAGGGCATCAATATTTATGATAAGCTGTGATCTTAGGTGGTGTTTATGCAAAATATCCATTCCTATTACATAAAGACTCCAGCATAAGCACAAACATATTGAAAACAATGTTAGACTCGATTTCTGCACTGATGATGATGATGCTGAAAACAAAGCCTACTTTATATCTCTATATGTGTCCTTAAAGAAATTTGATCTCCATTTGAAGCATTAGGAACACAGAAATGAAAGAATACCTTTGGACTTTTCTGAAGAAAAGGGGCTTCAGTGACCATCAAAATGATTCAACATGAAATTTTCTTCACCATATGCAAAAAATCAGCAAGTGATAGGCTAACGGCTAAACAGCTACTAAAAAATTCTGTACAAGATTGTTAAAGGAATTTTACATTCATGGCATTAGCTCAGTGCCCAGCAACAACCCATTCAATGAATCTGCATGAACGAACTATTTATTATTCTTCACTAAAATCAGCAGGCAATATACTTGAGCTAAGAACAGACGCTACCTTTCATTTTACAATCATCTCATGGCAAGAATAGCTGGGAGAAGCTGTCTGTCAAATCTAATTTTGTTTCTGCAATTAGCCAAGGCGTTGCTTGACATAGGTGATACTTTTTGTCTGTCCTGGGGCTTCTTCTCCTACATAAACAAACACCTTTGCCATCTACTTTCTTTGTCTTCTCCCTGCAACTGCAAATTAAGCTGTCAGAGCCAAGGAAAATAACAAGTTGTTTCACATGCCATCTAACACTCCAATTGATCAACAAACTTGTGTATGTATGACGCGAAACAAAACAAGATGTTGAACATTCCATTCTATTAAGATAATTAGCCTTCTCAGTCAGAGTTCTTCACAGATTTACAGAAATTTCATGAGAATCTTAAGTTGGAGATGTTTCTTCTGTGGATCAATTGTCCAGTCCATATGGGAGCATAAGTGGTGGAATGGTCGAAGAGGGAAGTAAAAACAGTTTAAATATACATTTTTCTACATCCAGATCGACTATAAGTAGTCCAAGAAAACTCAACTGGAATAAGTAAAAATTCCGGAGGTGTTCCAAGTCTCATACTGGAAACAAATAGTGAACTAAGTTGAAATATTATTCTGCTTCACACTTGTGTATTCAGTATCGACAAGGATATCACACCTACGAATGGGTTAGATCAATATCAAAGTTTGCAAGATACCCATCTGGTATGGTTCAATATAAATAGTATTTACCAGTCAAACGGTCTTTTTCTCAGGCTTTTCGTTTTAAGCTCAGCATGTACTAAACCAACACATGATACATCGGCACAGTTTAGACTGATACCAGTTTAGGCCAAGTCAAGTACTTAAAAGAGTTAAGGACCTTGATCATAATATTAGTTGAATGATGAAATGAGACGAATAAACTAAAATGGCAGACCTCTTTGAAACCATGATCTCCGAACTGCTTGACGAATGTAGCGTTCATGCTTCTGCAGAAGCTCGTCAACCTTGTGAGACTGAGAAAGCAGAGGCCCTGAGAACTCAACTCTGTCTCCTTCATCCTGACGACCCTGAGCATTTTCAAATTAGAAGAAACAGCAACATAAACAATAATCATCGCTGACAGACTAAACATGCAAGCTAAAACAAAGCAAGGAAAGTGTCACATCCAACTCCTACCAAAAAATTACGTTTTGCTGAGATCGGATCTCCCCTGAAAAGCACTTTGGAGAAGTCCTGAGAATGGTGTATGTCGGATGAGTCAAATGAATCTGGGCGTCCTAAAGTTGCCCACTTCTTGAGAATCTTGCATTTTGCTTGTTCATATGTGTCATGGCCTTTGGAGCCAGCACTGGTTTCATCTGCATCTCCGTTCTTGTGCGTACCGAGTTCCAGAACAGCTTTATCTGGCACAGTGTTGGATGGATCTACAGCACCAGAAACATGGCTTTTCGAGCTAGAGCTACTGTGAGATCTATCATATGCACAAGCTTCTCTCTGCCTTTTAGCCCATGCAAAGCCACTAGAAGCAGAAACATCCAAGGGACCCGAGAAAGCAGCATCCTCTTGACTTAAGAGTCTGGCTTCACCATTTACTCTAATGTGTTCTTGTTTTACCTTGGATCTCGTAACTCCATGACGATTGATCTGTGACTGTGTACATGAAAAGCAAACACATGAAAATAAAATCCACCAACTATCCTAAAACTTAGTTATGGAGTAAGATGAGAAAAGGACCTCTTGGCTCTCTGCTATTTTGCCTGGTGCATTACTTGGTTCTCTTGAAGCTCTATATGCCCCTGGTTGTCTTGTTATGGCTTCTGGCCCATGCCGTCGTCTTTCAATCCTTCTCCTGAAAGGACAACACAAACTGATCAAAATGGCTGCAGGAAAATGAGCTCTCTACATTCTTTGAAACATAGATTCCTCTTTTGAGGCTAAGGATGTAGATTTGTAAACAGAAAGTCCGGCGTTGAGAACCATATCAGCTTCTGTAAAAGTGATACCAGCTGAATTAAATATCAGATGTGATTGGCTAGATCAATGGTTTTGAATGTTGCATCTATGAAGAATTGCATATAATGGCCTGAAACTAAACCTACACAGAATGGGAAATGTCTGTTCTTTTCTAAGCGGACAGAAGTTTTGCTGCCTAGGTGACAACTATTTGGGATAAGGGTATAATATCCCAACTATTTGGTAATGACAATGGCAATAACAGCAATAACAGCAAGGCCATGATGTCTGAACTATTTGGGGGCTACATATCTACGTGAATCTGTGGTCCAACAAAACACTAAAACGCAAGTCATAGGAACCTAAATATTTGCCAATCAAAACAGTAAAATTGAGCTTTATAACCTCTTGGAAATTAAGACTTCTTTCATTAACAAGTAAGCATGTGAGAAAGTCATTGAGGCCAAAACAGATTAACAAATATAAATCGCTCCAGAACCATCATTTGTTTGAACAAAAACAGATAAATTAAAGCAAATTGACAACAAAAACAATCTTGATTATAGATAATAAGAAAAGATCAACAATCATTCAACATCAAGGAGTACAGTCCAAAAAATAATAACCATAAGATTAAATAAGGTTAAAATTTTCAGTCAGATCCTAGTTTATACACCTTGTTAGACTGATACAGTACCGAGATATAGGATGGTATACCATCTTGTACCACCTAGTATCATTGAGAAAATATTTAAAAGATAATATCAATTGGTACCAAGCTATATAGACTAGTACTGGTTACTGGTTGGACTGATAAATAATAGTTGGTATGCACCGTTCTGGCCGAAATATGAAACCTTGATATATGTAAATCAAGGAAAAGGATATATAAGAGCATATAACATAGTAACTATGGAAGAATAGACACATAAGAAAAAGAATCAAAGAAAGGGATACAGAGCATGATATAAGAAACCTAGTTGTCGGTGGAGAATAATGAAGAAAAGATATAAACAATAACAATGAAAAGAAGAGAAAAAAATTAAAGATTAGCAAATCGCATGACAAAGAAAATTAAGGACTGGGAAAAAGAAGGAAACAATTAAAGAAAATTTAGTAGTAGTAGTAGCAGTAGTAGTACAAGAAGAAAACCACACCTTGTCTTTGTTATTGATGGCTATCATTTGCCATATGTAAAGAAGAGAACACAAGAAACAAGATTAGCAATCAAAACACAGAGAGCTGGCATCTTTTTTGTTGATAGCTACCATTTTCCTTATGAACTAATGGTGATTGGGAGAACAGTGGTGGTTGCCCAACTGAACATAGAAGGAGATTGCTTTTCTACCTAGTTCTCTCTCCCAATGACCAATGAAGATAGGGAACAAGGCAAGAACCCAATGGGATTTTGGATGAAGTGAAGCATGAGTTGCCTTCTCTAAACAACTTCTCTAATCACCAAGATTCTGTGAATAATGAGAGCTATGTGGTACCATAGAAAAGGTATAAACACATACGATTAGATGAAATTGTCACTAGCTGGCAGCCAACAAGACAGCAGCCTCGTTAAGTCCTTGGTGGAAATTTGACAATATTAATTATGTTAATTATGATTCAGGATATGATGTCTGATGTAAGTAGCTAATTAAGATTACCTGTGTGACTCCTCACGACTCTTTGCATCGATCTCTTTATTAGGTGGATATTTTGGCAAACTTGAAGGCTCACAGGCATAAGGCTTTGTTCTGAAATACTGAAAGCATATGGAGGAAACAGAATAAGAACGATCATTAAAATAGAAGAACAGTTAAGATAGAGATCTAGAAGAAAAAATGGGAAATAATGCAAATTACAACACAAGAAGCAGCAATCATTATCATCGATATTTTTAGATGGAAATGACCTAATCTGATGAGTCTTCAGTTAATATATTAATTGAAGAAGATAAGTTAATAACTTCTTTAATAAATTCTTTTTTCTTTTTTTGACAAAAAGGTGCTGCAAAAGGCTAATATCATTCTAGCAAAATACTGCCCACAGAGATACAATGAGCTATCTTGATTCTTTGGTCACCCAGAAAAGAAATCCTTGTGACATCTTAAGGCTCAGTTGGTCATATAATCTACAAGATCACTAGCCAAGTAGTAAACATGATCAATAAACATTTTATACAAAAGAAAACAGATGTTTATGTATCATCTGCACAACTCTATACATCCTCAAGGGACACTAACTTCTTTAGGAAATTTGGTAGCAATTGATGCAAAACAATGCAATCTATTTTTCCTGTATTTCTACTATCTTAGCTTGAGATTCTGCACTGTAATATAAATCCTCCTTTTGTGTTGTTTATGAATCATTAACTCGGAGAGGAGATGAATTTCTTGGACAATTGGATCCGGTGGTACAATAAGGAGGAAGGAATTTTATATTCTCGTTTAATTTAATGGTAGGACTACATGGACACAACCAATATTCACATGAAGCTGAGCTCTCTAACTGTATTTGACTCGATTGTTGAAACTTCTTGGACCTTGGTCATGTTTGCATATGATTCCTAGTATCGTAGGATATTTCTTGATTTATCTGTTGAAATATCTAATTACCATTAATATCCTCAAGAATTTGTATATGATATTAACTTTCTGTACTGAAGTAGCCATGTAGGACTCACTAACTCACAAAGTAAATTCAACCACGGCAATGTTGTGGTTTGGCAGATTAGAACAAGGTTGTTTAGTTATACCCATATGAAAAAAATAGCAACAAGAATGGCTAAAAAATATCACAGAGTGTGTGGGAATGTTTAAGCTATCTGAATGGTACTGACTTCAATGTTAGCCAGCTTAGAGTAATGAAATTTCTTCAAAAAAATATTTCCCTTCAATTGGTATATGGCTTTAAGTTTTAGTTATTTAGTATGATTAAAATTGGAGGAAGAAATCTATTAATGGGAAAATAAATCTGACATGAAAAAGAATTCGATAAAAATGTTATCATTGTGGAAGAGTAGCAAATTAAGAAAAAACACAAAGTTTGACTAATATAGCAAGACACTAAAATGGCATTCCAACACTATGTACGAATCAGGACAACTCATGTGAAAGCATTTAACATAATATATGCACCTCAGATGCAAGAGCAGACGAAGCAGTGCCACGCTTGTAAGGCTCAACAGACAGAAAAGTTTCTAACAAATTGATAGCTGTTGCTGGCAGATTCTTGAACATATCCTGAAGACAACTCTCATAAGGATGATGAGGTTTGAATATTGTAGCATGGGGCAACTTGGACTTCTTCCAGTACTCATCTGGAGGGGAACCACAAAGCTTGAATATTTTATGTAATTGTTCAACCTGATAAAAAGAGGGAAAAAAAGGGTCCCATGTCATCAACGAGAACTACTGAATCATGACATATTCATGGTTCTACTCAAAAAAGATAACTGCCATGATATTTTAATGGCAAGTGAGTCACATGATTACCTCAGTTCTTCCTTGCAGAATTGGTTTCCCAAGAAACATTTCTGCAAATACGCAACCAACACTCCACAAATCCACACTCACTTCATAATTAGTTGAACCCAACAGTAGCTCAGGAGGACGATACCATAGTGTCACAACACGGCTAGTCAGTGGTTGTTTATGTTTGGTACTGCAGAAATTTGCCAGACCAAAATCAGCCATTTTGAGAACTCCATCATTATTTACTAGAAGATTTGCACCCTTGATGTCACGATGTATTACACCACGTAAATGGCAATGTTCAAGTCCAGATAGCAGTTGCTGCATGTAGCACTTAACCTACAATTCATCAACAGACAATCAAATGCAATATGCATCTCAGTCCAATTGACTATAACGAGAGAGATAAACAAAAAGCTTTTATGGCTAAATTATCACATGGACAAACCTGTGCTTCACTGAACTCAATGTCAGGACAAGCTGACAGCCCAGCAAGATCATGTTCCATGTACTCGAATACAAGATATAGACTACATGAGAGCCGAGAAGTTATCAGTCCTTCGAGTTTCACAACATTTGGATGGTCTAGTCTCCGTAGTATCAATATTTCTCTTGCCATAAACCTAACACTCTCTGGCTCAAAATTGTCAAACCGCACCTTTTTTAAAGCAACAACCTTTCCGGTGTCAAGATCTTGTGCTCTAAACACACTGCTGTAGGTACCTTGTCCAATCTTGACATGCAGTAGACAGCAAACAAAATTTAGCCAGAAAATGAAGCAAAAGTAAGCACCAACTTCAGTGAAAAATATAGCCATGATATTATTCAAAGATAGGCCCAAAAACACAGGTCATTTGTTACATATAAAAGGACACAAGATAGACAAGTTAAAAATGAAGTTTATTTTCAGTGAAACATTTTTTATCCCCAATCAACCTATTTTCATCTGATGCTTATTCTTGTTTCCCAATCAATGAAGGAAAATTCAGTGTAATATATAGGAACCAACTGCATGCAAGAAAGAACTGATAAGTGCACTGATATTCTATTTTGTATGACAGATTTGCAATCAGGTATTCATATATATTTATGCAATTATATTAGTCATTGCAGGATCTTAAGTATTGAGTGAAGTGTCTATCTCGGGTATATAATACTGATTTGATGGTTCCTTGATCATCATATTACAATTCACTCTGAAGCTTCCTTCAGTTGTGGTGGTGTATTCCATTTTACCCTATTGGACCTGACTGGCCCCTTTACCTTTTCAGCCTTTAAAAAACCTTCCCCTGCTTGTAAAGGAAGAAACTTTTGATACTTAGTTGACATCTCAGTTGTAATATTCTACGGCTCTAACCATTTTAGTAGCATAATTACCTATAACTTATATGAAATAAGCTTTTTCGTAGGACTCAAAATGATAGTATGCCATCAAAATCACAAGTACATTTCCCACAGGAGCTACAAGGTAATCACAATATCGGATATACCCCGCTCAAGTCCCTAAAAACTTCGTTAAAACACCACCATAAATATTCCAAATCCTCCTATGAGCTTCTGATGTGAGAATAATTTGAAAAGATTCTTATCCTCATACGCATGATTCCACACAGATAGGCTAGTAAAAGTGTTCCGGTATAGTTTACAATGATCCCTAATCTATTTAGCCTAATAACATACACAAATGGATCCTGTAACATGGCCCAAAATTTAGCTAGTAGTAGGACAGGGTTGAGCCTAGATACAAGTTCATCTTCCGATGATTTTCCATAATGGGGCCATTAGGGTATCACAACAGCCTCTTCCAAGAGCCAACTACAACAGTTTAAGAACATATGCTAAAGCATACGAAAAGGCACTGGTCTCAAGAGGTAAATGATCTCTTATATACGAAAAGAGCCATTTTGCTCTGCTCTGGTAAGTTCGGCCATTAAAGATAAATATTGGTTAGATTACTAATGGAAAGATTGAAGAACATGAGATGAGCATCTGAGTGACAAAAATGATTAATGGGTGCAGATGAAAGACTAGGATAAGTATGGCTAAATCTGAATTAGATAAGTATTGCAAGGATCCAAATGATGCCTAATTATAAGAGAGCACAAAATATATTCATTCAAGACCAAATCGGTAACGAAAGGTGCTTGGACTTGTGTTGAATATAAGCAATATAGACAAAGAAATAGGAGAAGGATATTAGCTGCGTCGGAGAATGTCATCTGAGAACAGCATAAGAAACAGTGCTGACCACAAGCATTCCAGAAGAGGGTCATTGATATGATTGAAATCATCCGCATTTGTTCAGATGTTGAACTTCATAAGATTGGGCATAAACCAAAAAAAGGCTTTTTCATAGATCGCATGTGAAACTTCACAACCAGAAGCAGACTAGGAGAATATGCAACAAAGAACGCCACATTTGATCGGGAAAGGTATCGGTACATCACTTCTTAGTTCAATATGCCACGATCTTATCAAGAAACAAATCACATGAATGGATGAGGTAGAATAAGACATGACAAGGTATTTGATTTTCACTCTAGAATGAGAGCACGAGTTCAAAGAACCAATCGAAGGTCATGACGATCTTGATATTACCTTCTCCAGCTTCTCAAAGTTGTCGGCTTTCAAAGGCACCCAACCCTGAATAGCCTCCCCGGCGACGGCGCTGAGCCAAGCGGGCCATCCGGCGGCGACCTGCTCCCCCTCAATGTACTTATGAAAATTCCCCAGCCGAAGGCTCTGTAAACTGCCACTAATTGCGCTGGCCTTCCCAGGATCCCCCTGTGTGCATCCAGCCGCCTCGCCCTCCTGCTCCTCCTCTCGGCATCCCTGCCCGGCGCGGCACCGCGACGAAGAAGCCGAGACCGCCTCCGATCCCTCGCGGTGGTCCCTCAGAACGCCTGAGGAGTCCAATGCCGGGGTCACCGAGACCGTCTTCTTCGACGCCACGCAGCCCATCACCGCCCCGGCTTCGCCGGCATCGGCCTGACCACCGGCGGTCACGTAAGGCCCGGATCAAGAAATCGGCAAACGACGACGAGCCGAGGAGGAACCCGGTGGAGATGAGACCGGAGAGGGCACGGAAGGTCCGTCAGAACACAAAAGGTGAGATCCTGGAGCTGCTTTCCTGTGTCTATTCGTGACCTCGATCACTAGGGTTCCTTTTTCTTGCGAGATTAGCGGGATCTTATAAAGAGAGGAAAAAGGAGGGAGAGGATAAAGGAAAACGGCCCGTACGAAATCTATTACAAAAGAACATGTAGCCGTTGCGACAACTTTGCATACTGTGGCATTTCTCTGTTTTCCTTTAATTTCCTATTTCTCACTCTTTCTTTTTTTTTCTTACTATATTAATTTTTTTTATATTAGAGGATAGACCTTTATATAAGGATAAGACCACTTAATGGGAATTTTAGTAATGGTTTCACCATTTTAGTTGTGGTAAATATGCATTCTCAACTTAAATTCAATCAATTGTTTTTTTGTTTTTGGTCAATGATGGTTTGGTGTATCTTGTGTTAGTCCTAATAATAATAATAATTTCTATTATTATTATTTATGAGAATAAGTTTGAAGGGAAGTGAACATATTATATATTATATATTGGGGGGTATATGGGCATCATTTGACAAGACGGTGGGAAAGGAACATGTGTGGCCGTCCATGGATGACTTTTAGTCAGAGTCAGTAGAAAGAGGGAGTGTGTGTCTCCACTTAAAATATTTGTTTGTGTGTGAGAAAAAGTGTGAAGGGGAAGTGGAAGGTGTGAAAAAGAAGACTGACACACCGAAAGCGTAGAGAGACAAACTCCTCCTCCTCTTTTCCCTCTTTCACTCGTAGCTGCTGACTCATGTAGCCATGATTCTATTGGGTTGAGTTGGGATGAGACCCACTGGTTGGAGATGCAAGTGTTTGTGAGGAAAGAAAAATAGTGAGAGTGGGGTTCAGCTGAGGTGCCGGCAACCATCAAATGATGGTGCTGTCTTTTCCGGTGTGATTGCTTTTGTTAGAGGCATCTCTTCCAGCTTTAGTTGTCGTAAAAGTTGCAGGTTGGGCTCATGTACTTTTTCTTTCTAGTTTTTGGCTTGGATGTGTAGTTCTTGGCAGGATAATTACCCTCGCAGCTTGAATCGATTTACAGGATAATTAGAGTCTCTCCACTTAGAGATTTGATATCCTCATCAAAAACTCAAATAACATTGACTCTCCTGCAGTGCTGTCATAATGTAATACATCATAACTTATAGTTTGAATTACTTACTAAGATATTTTAACTTAAGCTAATAATAATGATAAATTTATTTAGCTAATATTGAATTTTTATTTTTTTGTTTATCTTTCTGGTCACCATATTTTCCTTCAGCATTCTATGTCAACAGAAACAAGATTGATTAGTGCTTTGTCAAAATTGTCTGCATGTCTTTCAAGTAGGTAGTCAGCTTGCTGCTGTTCCTGGGTGAAGACTAAAAGTTGTAGATGTTGACTTAATTTTTGTACTATGTGGATCTGCTTGTTTTTATAGGGAGAGTTGTGCTCCAAGCAATTATTGATGTTTTCAAAACATTTGAGGGCTATTTTTTCTTCCTATACATAAATTTGATAGGACACAATGAGATTGCATGAGTGTCCAATACAAAATAGACAATCATTGATCAGATGTCCAAACTACCTCCAATTCTATAGATGATTTAAGTAATATATATGTATATAAATATATAAGACCATTCTTGATGGTGGTAGGTTGCAGCCTCCTAATTATTCATTGCAGGTACAAAAAAGTAAGATAGAAATGCAATTTATTATGGTAGATAAAGTCATGATAGCCAATATCATATTCAATCCTATGAAGGGAAAGAAATCAAGTGCATGGGAGTGTTTTAGTTACTTCAATCATGCATCATAAGAGCATTAGTTTGACCATCCATGGAGACACTTTTTACTACCACTTATCTCCATTAACAACCAACACACTCATTCCATGCCATATCAGTTGACATACCTTCCATTCCACATTTATGATCAACTTTTTTACCTACTAATTTCTCTTCCTGCAAATACAGATCCAAAAGAATGGACTTTAAAAATGTACAAGGGAAATTTTAAACTATTGTAGATAGAATAATAAATAGAAAGCAGTGAAATGTGCCATTGTTGGACAGTGGGGATTTTAATTAAATTAGGATCATTATGATGCCTGTCTGTCTGTCTTTGACAACAACATCAGTCTTTTGATTTAATAGCCCATGGAAGAGGATAGGATCAAATGCCATAACTTAATCTGCCATTATGCACTTGTTTATAAAAAAGATGTACATGTATTTGGACTCATGTGTTAGGAACTGAGGATGCTTTTCCATCCATGTGATGCCCATATGGCATGCACCACCATGTCAATCAATGAGAGAGTTTGGATATATGATGGGCAATTTCCAATGAGCTTTTGATACCATGATAAATGATGAGTTTGAGTTACCACTTAATCCCCAAAAGCTTAAGTTATTAGAATCTTGTGTTTGAAATTGCCACCAATAGCAACATTTCTTTTAAGAATTCTGTGTGCATGCCAATCATATGGTCAATTCATTGTGATAGGTTTTGAAGATTGCATGGCTCTAAAATATTGCCTCAGATTTAGTCACTTCACCTACTAATCCTAAACTAATGCAGCAATAACTAGTAAATCCAATTATTCATGATTTTTAAGATTTTTTTCTTAATCGATTATGACATTTAAGAAATTTCCCCCAAAACAACTTTTAATCATGGTGTGTTTTTTTCTATCATTTTTTACTCATTTTTCTGTGTCTTTTGCTAAATATATAAATGAATATGTCTGCAGTACTAATTTCTAAAAGTTTTTTTTAACCTTTATTAATATTGCTGACTAATTCCCAATTTTATCAATCTTATATATGTATTCACTAATCATTTCTACAAGTTTTGAACTTTTAGAAAAAAAAATATAAATAAAGACATCATAAGCTAAAGATTTGATGTCCAAAATGGTAGCTTTGAGAGCCCAAAAGATTACAGCAACTCCATTAAGCATGCCAATGAGACTGGCAGTGTCAGATCTAATCCAAATAGTGTTATCCTTCTCTCTCAGCTATCCTGAAAGCCTCCAAGAAAATAAAACCTTCCACTTTAGAAGGGATGTTAATAAGGTAGAGAGCATATCCATCCATCTTCAAGGAGGGGACCATCCTCCCTCCTAAAGATATCAATTAATAGAGTAGTGAAATGAGCCATGGCAAGCAAGTATAAGAGCAAGCAGGGAACATATCAGAAAAGTCACTTTGTTACTACTGGTCACCAACAGTAGTGCACAAGAAGTAGAACTCTCTCTCTCTCTCTTTATGGTGTTCAAGGATTCCCCACACCTTCAAATATGTACATGAAATATGAAGAGAATCTTATACCAAGCAAAATCAAGTCCCTGTTTCACTATTTTATGCACAGTCACCTCCTGCTCAAGGCTGTGGCATGGATTTTGCCTTGTTGACAATGTCAACCAGCAAAAGATATAAAACAAGGCCTGATGATGCAGAAAGGTGGGTTGGCAAGCAAGCTGCTTTCTTTTTTCCTGGTCTTTTCCTTTTGCACATGGACTCCCAATTCCCTCCTCTTTGGTGACTGTTGATTTGTAAAAGAACTTTTCTCCATGCTTCTTTTTCTTTCTCGACCATATTTGATTCCCGCAGTAGCCTAAAATGAAGACTCAGAACAGGCAATGGGGCATAAACAGTCGAAGCATTCCAATTCAAGGCTCTGAAACCAAGAAAAGCACATGATTGGGTCCTCCTTCACACTGGCCTTGAGAAATGCTGCAGATCTCTTTTGGAAAGAAGAGGTTAAAGCTGCTCATCTAACATTGAAGAACTGTAAGAATAGCTGTTATAATATGGCCTGTTATATGTTCCCCCAGCAAGCATCTATCAAGCATATATACACAAGAAATGTTTTCCTCACTCGATGAAGGAACCATAAATTAAGAGATGAGACATCCATCCAAAAGGGAAATAAAATTCCATCAAGAATATATTAAGGGAATCCTTTGGTTAAGTATAATCTTCTCTTTTGACACACACAGTAATACGTCAAAATAAAAAAGAAAGAATGTTCCTTTCTTTTGTTTCACACCCAAAATCCAGCTCCAGTAAAGGTCTTGCTAATTCATATAAGAAATCCAATCATTGGTTTGTTAGATTGTCAGCTTTCAGCATCAAACAATAATTTTGCAATAGCTGTTAGTAATATGTGATACAAACTTGGATGCTAAAAGTGATTCGGATCATAGAGTCTGACGAATATATTATTATTAATTTAGATTTAAATATTTAATATCAATATTTAGGTTTTTAATATGTGAGCTATCACATAATATTGAGATGAATAGATGTTCGAGCAAAAAAGAATTAGGATGATAGAGTATACGTCATAACGCGAATTCATTACTAAGCTAAGCTAAGCCTCATGTGCACCATATTAAAATTCAATTCGGATTATAATAGGATTTTGATAAGGATATAAAATTGTTTAGGAGGAGATTATAATATCTCTAGTTTAATTTCACATAGAATTAGAGTTTAAGAGTGAGATGAGTATATTCTTACTAACTCTGACTTAAGATTCAACAAGTTAATAGGTTAATTATTATTATTCTGAATCATGACATAATTGATCTTTCTTTAAGGTCTGGACTGCCACTAATACTTAAATATAATCTGGAATTCTGATGTGAGATATGCCTCTTTACCATTATTGGCCGGTCACCATTAGATGGAAAAATATTCATACCTTGGAATTCAATTACTACCATAACTTAAACCTGCAGAATGGAAATTAAACTATATTGATATCTTTTTGTGCTGTGTTGACTGCATAGGATGACTGGAATGCTGTATCTTGTACCAATGAATTGACGGATCTACCCCTAAAGTTTACAGAATTTTACCTTTTTTTCCCGCCCGAATGCAGCACTCTGGTCATGGTTAAACTGTTAGAGATAGTTTCATCAATCGAAGTGACAAAAAACATCAGTCATCGTGGAATGTGATTGACAAGTAGGAGAGTTACGGAGGTGGCCTCTCCTGACCGATTCAATTATCCATTTAATCGAGAATCTAGATTGTTGGGATGATAAATGTCCTTACCATCTAAGAGCATTCATTCTAGAGTACTAAGATGACCGAGCTTTCATGTCACACGTCGGCCATGGCTCACGGACTAGAAAGAGACGTACCCGTCATTCATGACCCATCGTACAATTAAAGCTGACGATGGAGGTGACAACGCACCTCGCAGAACGGTGATTGTAGCTGCAGGAAGAAGATAGAGAACAGCCGAGGCCGGGAAAAGAACTCGACAGGATCGACGGACAGGATCACCATGCAGGCTAAATCATGCTTTCCCAAACAGGATCGACGGTCAGGATCCTCTATTATGAAATATATTCCATCTACATGTAAGTTTCACCTATCGACATCCGTTACACGCCATCGACATGCAAGCGTCTATATATGCATGTCTTTTCATCCAAGAAGATTATGATGATGGCTTGTTTCAACCCTTTATCTGCAACACTTGGACCACTGCACTGTCAAACAGGTAATCTAGCAAGTCCTATTGATTTCAAAAAGCTAAATTTCAAATAAATAACATAAAAAGTACAATCAAGAACATCTCAAGCAGATAAGAACTTCTAATTTACATGTGAGAAATTGAGTAAAAAAATTAACTGCACCAAATAATATTTGTAGGCTAATTAGGACAGTAAGATGCATAGTGGCAATGGACAATCCTAAATCTTAAGGTAACAACAAATCAAATAAAGCCTACTAGAACAAGAACTCTGTGTCGATCAGGTCAAGCACCTTGTGATTGCCCTTTGGCTTTGCCCCGGGTTTGAATTGGTTACCCTCAATATACCTGCATCCAATTTTCTATCATGAATTTATTCATAGTATAGTATATGTTGTTGTTCAAACACAATGACAACCAAAGAATCTTACAGTTCTTTTAAGAAGGGGTGCTTGTAAAACCCATCAGGGATTCTCCCCGTAAATGCATTATGGTCTAGATACCTGAAAAAAGGAAAGTAATTGAGCTCCCAGTATCCATAAAGCTTCTATTTAGTTTCATGAGATGGAAACCCAAAATAAATCTGAATTATTGCTTAGGATTGGGCATTTAGACAGTGACTCACAAATTGGTCAATCTTGGAATTTCAACAAGCTTTGGAGTTACTGGTCCAATCATCTTGTTGTATGACAAATACCTGTAGCGCATATATATATATATAAAGATGATTTATTAATTGTGTTAGTCTAAGAGTGTTTATTTCACTTAAGATAGAAACACTTACAAAATTTCTAGGTTCGTCAAATTTGCAAGCTGATCAGGTAATCCACCACTCATTTGGTTATTATTCAAGTACCTAACAACACAGACAATGATATAGATGTTAGTGAAGTTGCATGTCATAATTAAAACAAACAAGACATCCACATACAGATTACGGAGAGAAGGAAAGCCAGCTCCATTGCGGATAAGATCCCTTAGTGTTCCAGTCAAGTGATTGTTGCCTACATCACTGGGCATAAAGTTATGTGGTTAGTACACTATGTTTGCTCACCATCAAGGCATTGTAAAAAATGATAGAGGGAGAAGCTTCAATATCCAGCAACCATACTGGATGATCCTTTTGAAGCACCATCAATATGCAAAAGAACAACAGCATTTCATACAAGCAAAGACAAACAGATATCAACAAAGTCATGTAGACATTCGTGCACTCAAACATATAAGAACAAACTTAAAAATATGTACACACACAACCAACATGCATATTTATAAAGATGCACAAAGAGGGAGAGAGCAATACAGGTGGCGTAGGTATTTTAGGTTTCCCAACTCAGGAGGAATTTTTCCAGTAAGGCGATTTTCATGAAGATAGAGATAACGAAGTTCTTGAAGATTTGCCAGCTCCACAGGAATATCACCTTTAAAATTATTGAAGCTCAGGTACCTACAGAGTTTTCAATCAATCATCACAAAAGTATAAAACCACCAAAGAAGGAAAAACAAAATGCAAAACATACTTACAGATGTGTCAGTTTTTTCAATTCACCAATTTCAGGCGGAATGGCCTCTTGCAGCTTATTCCATCTCAGGTTCCTAAGAAGCACCAATAAGAAGCATGGAAAATGAAACTATAATTATTTTATTTATTATCAATCAGGTCAAATTAGGTATAACAACTGTTGGTTACTGAGGACAAAGTCACTTTTCACACAGTTTGAGTAATTATCCCAAAATAAGAATATATACCTAAGTGGTGCTTATTTGCAATAGCTATTTGATCAGCTAAAATTTCTGAAATACACGACTGCCAACATTTGTGCAAAACAAATTAATTTAATTTTAATGGATTGAAGGTACAAGACAGATTAGTTAAATTTTCAACTTATAGACCCTCCTGGTAAACTTGTTGTGCACAATAAGCAATACATTGTTAGATTCAATTCACAAGACAAAAGTCAATTAAGTTCATAAGACAAAAATCCAAAACATGTAATTTGCAAGTGGAATGGATGGATTTTCTTCACCAAGAAAATAGTGGTCACCAGCAATTCAGTTCAGCACCATAGGAAGAAGGTCCAAGATTGGTCAGATGTCAGTTACTCTAAATTATAGTTCAGAAAAGTGCATAACCCAATCTATATTAAATTACTACATAATCTGCAAAATGGGCACATTCCCTTGGTGGTTAAGACCAATTCTACTACTCACTAAGGCTGCAAATTCAGCCAGTTGTCTTCCCCCAATAAGATAAAGAAATCTTTTCATACATATTCCTGCTGTACACCAAAATATTGAGTTTATCCTTCAAAACATCAAAATATACTACTGTATGTCCTCTAAAAGTGAGAAACTACCAAATTCAACCCTAGCATTAATAGTTATTTGTTTTAAAAAAATAAGGTTGGTTGATTTCAATTAAGCTCCAACCCAGGTTAAAGACGTGTCTAACTTAACAAATAACCAATTTAGCCCAATCTAACCCAATCCAGACCCCTACCCTTAAAACTTAGCCAACTCATCCCTTATCCAACTTGATCTAACTTTAATCCTTCCAAAGTTGATCGAAACCAATCTTTCCAAACCAATAGCTACCAAACTCAATCCCACAAGCTCAAGTCCTCCCAAACCAATCGCTTCCAAAGCCAGTGAATTGACCTCATGCACTAACTCTTCCTTGTGCAGTCAAACACTCCTAAGGCCTAACTAGCCCTCCTCTCCTCTCTCCTTCATCCCCCTCCCTCTTTGCCCGTTCCTCCTCAGGTTTATCTCCCTGCCAAAACCAAGAAACATTCAAAATCTTATCCCAAACCCTCTCTACCCCTCATGAACCATTAGAACCATCTAATCTTAAAATAATGTTCAATTAGCTAATCGCTAAGAAATATGTTTACATTTTATGAATATATAGTATTATAAAATAATTGTTATTTTAAGTATTTTCTAAGTTTTTTGTAAGATTTGCATAAGTCTATACATTTTGATGAATATATACAAAGAAAAAGATAAACGATGGAAAAAAAAAAAATGCATGCTGTTTCTACAGGATCACAGGGGCACATATGAAAAGAGCAAATGAAAATTTTTCTTGTAAAAACCAATATGCTGCACAAAAGAACATCAAACAGAAACTAGCAGAGTCGCTTTGCGAAAAAGGTCAAATGCCAACAGTTCCTCAATGGGAACTGATCAAAGAAGCAAATTCAACACTTTTTGCCTTTAGAGTGATGCATGATATTTGAGGTCTTAAGAAATAAATTTGATATTTAAGAGTTCTACAGGGATATATATGAATTTTTTCCTAAAATAATCCATAAAAATTTGGATATTTTGGGAACTGGAGAAGTAAGAGTAGGACTAAGTGATAAGGTATATCCTATGCATACTCATCATGCTTGTTGACTCTTGGATAGAAGTACATGATAACAGAGGAAAAGTGTCAATTAGTAAAGCTAATAACTTGTACAGAGAAGAAATATTACTCAGTGATTGAGAGGCGCTCGGGCGCTCGCCTAGGCGCTCGGGCGAGGCGAGGCGAGGCCCGAGCGCCTGGCTAATGTCCCAAGCGGCGCGCTTCAAACAGGCGCCGCCTGGGCGCTCGCCCGAGCCCAGGCGCTGGGCGCTTCGGGCGAGCGCCTGGGTAAACCAAGTGACCGAACCAGGATTTTAGGTCTGGTTCGGTCCTGGTTCGGTTATTAGTTGGTTCAATCGAACCAACTAAACCGATATAACCCTTACCCAACCCTAACCCGTCGCCGCTGCCGCTCCCGATCTCGCTGCTCGTTGCTCCTGCTCCCGCTGCCGCTGCTCGTCGCTGTCGCTGCTCGCGCTTCCCACTGCTCGCGCCTCCTGCTGCTCACGCCTCCCGCGAGCCCAGTCGCGAGCCTTCCCTCTGCTCGCGACTCCCGTGAGCCTTCCCTCTGCTCGCGACTCCCGCGAGCCCTCCCGCTGCTCGCGCCTCCCGCTCCCTTTCCCTTTCCCGCCGTCGCTCGCCGTTGTCGTCGCTCGCCGCTGCTTCCTTTCTCCGTCAGGCTCAGTATACTCTTAATATTCAGTTTATTTGAATTTTGAAATGATTAATTTTCATTAATAGATTAATAATATATTATTTTGATTTTAATGTTATTAATTTTTATTTATTTGAAATTATTGCTAGGTTTCAACATAAATGGCAAGTGTAGAGAGCAACTCAATAGAGTCTCCAATGGTATCAAAAAAAGATCCTGCATGGAATTATAATTATTTGAAGGATCCGAAAGATCATAATGCAGTGACTTGCATATTCTGCGATAAGACTACCAGAGGTGGTATTTTTCGTGCAAAACAACATCTAGTAGGAAATTTCAAAAATGCAGCAGCTTGCAAAAAATGTTCACATGAGGTAAAAGAAGAGTTGTTGAGTTATATGAATGAAAAGAAGACACAAGAGAATGAATCTTACGGGAATTTACCAGAAGACAATGTTGAACATCTCAGGGATAAAGAAGAAGATTATTCTATGAGTATTAACCCAAGTGAAAAAAGAATATACGACAAAAAGGGAAAAGAAGTTATGAGTACTAAGAAAGGTAAAAAAAGACCGATAGATCTATATATGCTTCAAGGATCCCAGAAACAACAAAGACAAGCAGGAGGCTCAAAATTTAGACAAACAAATATAAGTGATGCTTGTGATAAAGAAATAAGAGGAAGAACAATTCAGCACATTACTCGCTTCTTCTATCAGGCTGGTCTTCCCCTTAGTACAACTCGTTTAGACAGTTTTAAGGATATGATTGAAGCTATTGGAAGATATGGTGCAGGATTAAAACCTCCAAGTTATTATGAGATGCGAGTTTCATTGCTGCAAAAAGAGTTGAATTATACAAATGACTTACTAAAGGGTCATAAAGAATCATGGGCAACACATGGTTGCTCTATTATGTCAGATGTTTGACAGGAGGCGCAAGAGTATAATTAATTTTATGGTTAATTGTTCTTTAGGGACTATGTTTGTGAAGTCAATAGATGCTTCATCTTTTGTAAAATCTGGAGACAAGATATATGATTATTTGACAACTTCGTGGAAGAAATTGGAGAACAAAATATCGTTCAAATCATAACCGACAATGAAAGCAACTATGTTTTAGCTGGTAATATTCATCTTTTGATTTTGTTAATTATTTTATCTTCAATTAAGTGTGTTAAACTCTTAAGTCTTATCATTTTTGTTATCCTTTGTCTCAGGTAAATTGCTTGAATAAAAAAGATAACACTTGTATTGGACTCCATGTGCAGCACATTGTATTGATTTAATGTTGGAGGATATTGGAAAGATCTTAGAAATCAAGAAAACCTTAGAAAGGGCAATTTTTGTTGTTGGATTTCTTTATAATCACATTGGGGCTTTGAATATAATGAGAGAATTTATAGGGAATAAAGAATTAGTGAGACATGGTGTTACCCGATTTGCTACTTCATTCTTGACATTACAGAGCGTGCATCGTCAAAAACATACTCTGAGAAATATGTTTATCTCTGAGAAATGGGTGACAAGCAAATGGGCAAAAGAAGCAAAAGGCAAGAGGGTTGCTGATATCATCTTAATGCCATCCTTTTGGAATTCATGTAGTT